TGATCGTGCGGCCAGGATGCGTGTCCGCTAACATAAGGATTGATCCTGGATTCAGCAGATCCCGCGCGGAGGATTTCGTCCCATTCGCACGGAAACCCAATTGCGCGGCTCTATGCGTCATTAGCGCTGGAAACGGAGTTAATGCCGTTAAATCCGGGTCGGTCGGTCCAGCCGCGATATTATTCACACTTGTGCCAGCCGTTCGTTCATTCGTTCGTTCGGTCGCACAGATTCGTCGTCTCTATGTGAAATGACGACCTCTCGTGCGAAATGCGAATGAGCGATCATTCGTTCCGAATAACCTCATTTTCGTCAATTAACATTTTTTTTCTCTCTCTCAAACTTAGTTCTCTCCGATTGCCTGAATCCTCTCGAAGTTTCTCGCAATTCCTTTAGCCCCCAATTTTAATTAGTTAGTTACCGTTATTCGTTAGTATATCGACAGATCCGTCAAAAAGGACACACTTTATACTATCTGTATTTGCATACAGATTCAATGATATATAATTGTGTTAAAATTTGTGTTAAATTTAATACTTATTCCAAAAAGACACTCAAATTTTTATGTTAATTCAATATAAAATGAATATGTTAGAAAATAACAGAAACATTATGTAAAATTTAATACAAAAAAAGTGTAACATTTATGCAGACTACAGTTCATGATGCTACGAATGCTTTGAAGTATTTGTTGATTGATTAATAAAATTCTTTCTTATAATTGGTCAATCAAATTCTTCGAAGCATTTATAGTGTTAGTGCACTCTTCGACACAATTTGGAAACAAATTGTGGTAACATATTTTTTCATTATCAATCAATTGATTTTACTTTTAATGTTAACATTTATAATATATTAAAGTAATACACACATACATTTATTTTTTAGAAACTACATTATTTTTATATTATTGTTCAATTATTCATAATATAAATTGTATCATTTTTTGATATTAAGACATATTAAATATTAATTTAACACAAAATATTCGAATAACATAATCACATTGTGTTAACTTAACATTCAGATATGTTAAAAACATAACATAAAAATGTTCACAAAGATCAGTTGTAACACAAGTACAAAATAATTTTTACTTTGTACAAAGTATTTGTAATCTCTCCACTTTTTACGTTTAAAAATTAAAAACTAATTTTTATATATCAATAAGTTTACAACAAATGTAAGAAATAATCGCATCGAATTTAGCAAAGATTGGGAAAGTCTTGATAATAATCACGGTTCGAGAATTATGCGTTTTACGTAGTAAAATAAATTTTTCTTACGCCTGAAAAGTTACTGACGAGAAATTTTATTTCCTTTAACGTTCTATCAATATCGAATCTCGTCGCTTTGCCAATATTTTTCATGGCTTATTCGGCAAATATTTTCGATCTACAATACACGAACTAAAAACTGGGTCACTTTACTGATGCAAAATGGACCACTACGCAGAAAGAGTATTTCAATATTTTTACATTTACTAGTGAATTCACAAACGTGTAAATAACTTTTGTGGATATAATAACGAATGGATATAACATGATGAGCCGTTAAATGCACAATACTTCATATTCGATAAAAACAAATGCGTTTATTACGCGCGTCCTTAAAATGTTTATTTTAATCGTATGCATTTAATTAAATATGTCATAATTTGTTTATGGATACCCGCATGATTATATACGTTGTTTACGAGTCGCGAATTACAATCGTGTATTCGCTACATTAACAAATTGCTTTTTCACTAATTGAAAGATTACATTAGGTACAGATCATAATGTAGAATACAAAGGATAGTTCGTTGAAGTTAACACAAATACTACTCCGTAAAGTAATACCACTGTTTACTTAGTGTTTCACTTGTGCGTTTACAATTAATTAATTTGTCCACCACATGTTCCGTAATTAGCGTGAGTGTTTGGATACAAATCCGAAATCCGTTGACGTGCGTTAGATAAATTTGAAATAATATGACTAGCATAACGCTATAATTATTCTGTCATCTAGTTCATTGCTTAGATTAACTGATGCAAAATTAATCGATTGTATTTGCGAGACTTTCACATTGTGCTGCTTTTAATGTGAAAATCACAAATTTTTCCGGAAATTCATTCCGATTCTCATTCTGCGCTTAATCTAATCTTAAAAGACAAAAGTACGAAAATAAATGCTAATGTCAGAATCGCGCGTGTTTACACAGCCTATATTTATCTTATTCTTTGAAATTATCACGAGATCGTAACTTTTTTTCTTAGAATATAACATGTTATATTAAGTTATTATTTCTCTTTATTAATTGAAATACATATTGAGGAAAGCTCCTTCAAACACGACAGCTGCATTTACGAAAAGTAAATTAAATATCACGAAAAACTACACAATCGATAACGACGTGCTCGTGGTAATATCATTCAACGGAGAAAACTTATATTAGTTTTGCGAATGGAAAATATACAACAACGAGAAGGATATTTTATCCGGATAAAATTGCATTTCTCGATATCAAGTTTTCTTTGAAGCGCTCAAAAGCTTCAAGGTAGTTTGTAAAAAGATATACGTTTTGCGAACTATAGATTATTTTTTTATGCCTTTTACCTGGACGAGATAATAAATTTTTAAGAAAGTTATCAAGTTAAACGCATAATAAGACATGCCTTACGGCATTTTTTCCTAGATGGAGCTTGATTTGCGCATTATATAATAATAACGACGGAATCTAACTGATTCACCTCGAGATCCTCACAATCGAGCAGCGAGTCTCGTGCTTTTGTATATAAAGAACTATCATTCGCATTTCAATGCTGATCGCGTTTCTCTCATGACGAGGAGACGCGACGAGACTTTAAGTAATATCGATATCGATACGAAAAGGTGGATGTCGAACGGAGAAGAAAGAAGGAGCATTCGAGACAGAGAGAGGATTGGGGGAGGGTAGAGAAGAAACGAGCGTTGCGAATGCATCAATATTGAATTGAAAATGGATCGCGCGGAAAACGGAAAGGAAGAAGAGCTCTGCTTCGGCAGCGAACATAAATATCCTCTTTCCTTCCTTCCTGTCGCCTTTCATTCCCCTGCTTATTCACCGTTTATACATATTATGAGCTTGAAAATGCAAATATCGTAAAATCGTTATCGTTGCTTCCTAGAGACGATTACACGACATTAAATTAATCTTCTCGCTGTTTTTCCTCGACTCCTTCATCCCCCCCCCCCCCCCCCCG